GTGGTCTTCTGCGTGAAGTCGCCGAATCCACGTGATTAAAGTAGAGCTCGGTCTGAAAACTATGGTTGCGGTGTTGAAGTAGATCTTTATCCCCATTCTTACCTACGGTCATGAGTCGTGGACCATGACTGTAAAGCTTTGAACGTATGTATATGCTCCTGAAATGGGATTTCTGAGACTAGTTGCAGGCGTTACACTTACACGTCTCGACATGTTTCGGAATGCGTGCATCCGGAGATCCTTGGTGTACAGCCTCTACTTCTCCAGATTGAGAAGTCACAGCTGCAATGGGCGTGTTTTGCGAATGCCTCCAGAAATGATGGCTAAGCAACTGTTTCTTGCCAAATCGAACGGCAGAAGGCCCAGAGACCACCAATATTAACCTGGTGCAAATATATGGAAAGAGCCTGTTCCAGACTCTACTTGTCTTCTGCCGAAGCTCATGCTCTGGCACAGTATCGGGAACGTTGGAAGCACTGTCTGACGGGTTTGCCTCCGCTATCCGAAAAAAGAAAGGGCCGCGGATGAAGATGAAGTTTGGCTTTCATAATCATACGTCAGTAATCGACACGTTGAATTATAGGCCTAGAACGAAATTCTCTTGAAAAGAGTTTCTTACAGGATTGACATGTCGACCTAAGGCTAGCTGACCTTTTGGCAGTCATGTAACTCGGAATATCAGTGCACGTTTATAAACGAAAGAATGCTCCAGATGAAAATAGTAAGAATAGGAAGAGAAATTCATGAATGTTAAGTACTTATATTAGCAACGCCGGGCATGTTCATGCCTTTCTTTCCGCGTTCCGTAGAACCAAAACTTCGTAAAATGTATATGTTCCTCAGTATATATGCAGTTTATATTTTGACTTCTTGGATGAAGATTTAATTGTATTTAAGAAGACTTCTTCCAGGAGATCAAGGGAATAAGTTGAAAGAGAATTTTCTGACCTTATGGCAAATGTTACGATGCTATGTCACGATCAGCTCTACCAGAATTTTATGATACTCATAGAGGATATCGGCATAGCGACAAGCTTGAAAACTCGTTGAAGTATAGGCAGACCGTATTGCAGGGATAGAAATATGTTGCTGTGGTATGTCATTCA